TGTCGCTCGCCATTGACGGTCATTCCGAATCTCCTTGTAATTAGTCTTCATCATTTTTTTGGCAAAATTACAAAAAAATTACATATTGATAATCAATAACTTATGTGTCGCCAACTCTATTACTATCCTCTTCAAACTTATTCCAATCCGTAATTAAAGCTTCAGGTTTTGCATCAGTTTGGTCTTTCAAAGTTTCTAGATATAATTCACTACCAAGTCTATCACAAGAAAATCTTCCAATACCCTTAGCTCCAGCATAGGCCCGCTTAACTTTAATTTTATCACGATAGTTTTCATAACTATCTTCTTCCTTTCCTTCTTTTTTAGCTGAATAGGCAACAAAAAGCCATTTATCAAGTAAATCTTGATAACTCATTCCTTTACCATTATCTTTAATAATGATTTTACCATTACTGCTGTAAATATCTTCAAAAATCACATCAACTCTGGTAGCATGTGCATCATAAGAATTTTTGACCAATTCAAATACTGCTATGAAATCATCTGTAATTAAATCTCTACCTATTATATTCTTTAGTGCAGAGCTAATTTTAAATTGAAGTGGCTTCTGCATTTTAAAATAATTTATTAAGAATTAATCCAGCTTGCTCCCCAAAAAGAGGTGGTATTGCGTTTCCGATTTGTGAATATCGAGGAACTTCTTGCGTCCTACGTTTTCCGCCAGTAGTGTATTTGCCCTGAAATTGATACCAATCAGGGAAAGATTGAATTCTGGCATATTCTCTAACAGTTAAAATTCTTGGTTCAGAATAATGAATGTAATCGTCTGGTAATGTTGTAATTGTTGGGCATTTATCGTTTTTATCCAGTGGAATAATAGTGTGCTTTTTAATATTAAATCGTTCCCTTGTCTTAGCATCTATGTCTTTATTTTTTCTACAAGTTTTGAGAATTACATCAAATTTTTCGATGATATCGGGTCTATGCTTTGGAAAGCGGTGGCTATCAGCAATAGTGTTGTCAACACCTTTTCTCATCAATATTTGATATGGGCTTTGAACTTTCGAATAAGTTCCTGCCTGAAAACTTTTTGTATCTGGGGATTCCTTTAAACCATTTGCTTTTAGCAAATCTGAAATAGCATCCTCAAGATTTGTATCAACAGTCAAGTTTTTTTCAGCGAGAAAGGAATGTCTATTATCCTTAATAGTTGAGAAGAATGTTTCCGCTAAATTTAGGGAGGCATTTGCTAAATCTTTTCTAATACCAATTAAAATAAATCGTGTTCTTTTTTGGGGAATTCCAAATTCACCAAAATTCACTAATTCACCTTTCACAAAATACCCTGCTTTATCTAGTGCATTTTCAACATAAGATGAATATTCTTTTCCCTTATCTTTGTTTTTTTTGAATTCGAGTGTAAAACCTTTTACATTCTCGAAAAACAGAATTTTAGGCTTAATAATTATTATGAAATTAATATAGGATTCGATTAAGTTGTTTCTTTGGTCATTTTCGTTTCTTCGTCCAGCCATTGAAAACCCCTGACAAGGCGGTCCCCCTGCCACAAGGTCAACCTTGTTCTTTAGCTTTTCAAAGTTATTTTTATACAATTCAATTGCTTTGTCAATTTCAATACTTTCTTTAGGCAACCAAATCGGCCAATTAAAATGATTTTTATTATCTATAAGATTATGTTTTAAAGTCTTGAATGCGTCTGGATTTTTTTCTATCGCAAACAATCCTTTCCAGCCTGCATTGTGCAGTCCTAATGAAAGGCCACCACAGCCAGCAAATAAATCGATGTATGTAGGTTGATTTACCATTACTTCACTTACTTAGGTTAAAGCTTTTCATATCACACCAAGCACAATACAAAAGCGGAACAAAGATACAACAAAAGGACAACAAAGATACAACAAAAGCAATAACTCCAAAAAATAAACTAATCCCATTAGCAAAGCACCCAAACCCAGCCAAACCACGAAGACCCGCGACAGGGATAGTAGTGGAAATAGCCCTTTGTATGCCTTTTTTCTTTAAAAACCTCGAAAAACAAGCGGTTGCTAGGCAAAGTAAATACTTGCATGGCTAAGCGCGAAGACAAAAAAGGCATACAAAGGGCTATTGCAACGGATAGCCCGGCGACTCAATAAAAATGCCCCTCCAGATAGCCCAAACTAGGATGTCGGGCCCAGAGGGGCATTTTTTTTGAGGCGGTCGCCATGATTAATTGACAATGGATAATTGAAAATTGACAATTATTAGAAGTTGTTCACCCTCATTCTTTTGTGAAAAACCTATTCTAACCCGTTAGTATTTTTTAGAATCAAAAAAAAGAAAAAATACGTAGAGCGTTAAAGTACTACTAACTCTCCGGTATCATTTCTTCGATGTATTCATCTTTACCGGTCTCGTCGTCGAGTATCTTGAGCTTGGTGCGCTTGATGGGTTCTTCGCGCATGTCGTTGTATTCGAAGCGATTGTTGGCGATGTCAATAGCGGCAAAGATGGCTCGCATGAGGCTGCGTTCGTCGGCTTCGCCTTTACCGGCTATGTCGTAGGCAGTGCCGTGGTCGGGCGAAGTGCGCACGATGGGCATACCTGCGGTGTAGTTAACGCCTGCACCAAAGGAAATGGCTTTGAAGGGTCCAAGACCTTGGTCGTGGTACATGGCAATGATACCATCGAACTTGCGGAATTGCGAGGAGCCAAAGAATCCGTCGGCAGGGAAGGGTCCGTATGCTAGAATGCCTTCATTTTTGGCGGCTTTGAGTGCTGGGATGATGATATTGGTTTCTTCTTGCCCGATGGCGCCTTGGTCGCCGGCGTGTGGATTGAGTCCCAAAACTGCTATCAACGGACGGTCAATGTTGAAGTCCATTTTGAGCGTTTTGTTCATCATTTGTATCTTATGGAGTATTTTTTCCTTGGTGATGGCTGCGGAGACATCTTTGAGGGCGAGGTGATTGGTGACGAGCCCTACTTTGAGGTCTTCGCTGACGAGCATCATAAGGTTGTCTTTTACGCCGAAATGATGTGCGAAGTACTCGGTGTGCCCTGGAAAAGTGAAGCCGCTCATCTGCATAGATTTCTTGTTGATGGGAGCGGTGACGATGGCTGTGAGTTTGCCGGCTTTGATGTCTTTCGTGGCGGCATCGAGTGCGGCGGTGGCGCATTTGCCGGCGATTTGGGTGGCTTCACCGATGGTAAAGGTGATGGCATCGTCCCAGCAATTGATGACGTTGATGGCGTTGGGCTGTGCCTGTTCGGGGCTTGTGATGGTGTTGATATTGATATTTTCCTGTGTGATAAAGTTTTTGTGGTAGGCAATCATTTTTGGGTTGCCGTAGACTACATACACGCAGTTTTTGCCTCCGGGTTGTGGTTTGGAGAGAAGCGTTTTTATGATGACTTCCGGTCCTACACCATTGATGTCGCCGCAAGTTATACCTATTATTTTTTTCATACTATGAGTTGGTTGCAAAGTTGTTTTTCAAGAAATGGTACATCAAGCGTATGCCTACGCCTGTGCCTTCTTTGGTTCTATAGTTTTGTTGGGTTTTTAGGTAGGCCGTGCCTGCAATGTCGATGTGTATCCATGGGTAATCGATAAAATGCTCTAAGAATTTGGCGGCTGTGCTGGCACCTGCGGCTACTCCTCCGAGGTTTTTGAGGTCGGCCACGTTGCTTTTGAGGTCGTCGTCATATTCGCGCCAAAGCGGTAGTTCAGCTAGTCGTTCGTAGGTTTCCATGCCGGATTTTTCGATATTCGATTTTATTTTTTCGGCGGCGGTGCTGAAGTAAAGGCTGCCATAGGTGCCTAGTGCTCGTACGGCCGCGCCTGTGAGCGTGGCGAAGTCGATGACCAGCATTGGGTTGTATTTCTTGGCGTAATGGAGTGCGTCGGCGAGTATGAGTCGCCCTTCGGCATCGGTATTGAGTACTTCTACGGTGGTGCCTGAGTACATGCGTATCACGTCGCCCGGTGCTATGGCGTTGGTGCCTATTTTATTGTCGGTGGCTGGTATCAGTCCGATGATGTGTAGTGGTAGCTTGTTTTTGGCGGCAACATAAAGCGTGCCGGCTACAGTAGCAGCGCCTCCCATATCGCACTTCATGTATTCCATGCCTTCGCTGGGCTTGAGGCTAAGTCCGCCGGTGTCATATACGACACCTTTGCCGACCAATACGATGGGTTTTTCGTTGGTTGCATTGGCGGGTTTCCACTCTAAGATATTGAAATGAGGAGGTATATTGCTCGCTTGGTTGACGGCTAGGATACCGCCCATTTTGAGGGCTTGTATTTTTTCTTTATTGAGAAATTCGAAGTCGAAACCGGCATCGTTTGCCATTTTTTCTATTTCTTTGCTCAACTGCGGTGTGTCGAGGAATGAAAAAGGCTCGTTTACCAAAGTGCGCGATAAGAAAACTGCCTCTACTAGCGTGCTCAATTCTTGCACTGTAGGGGCATCGAGTGTGGAGGACTCTACTTTTATGGTTCTGAGCGTATTTTCTTTGGCGGTAGGCTTGGAGAAATACTTGAGAAATTGGTAGCTGCCAAGTGCCATGCCTTCTACTACCTGGTAAGCGCGGTTTGTTTCGGCAATACTACGTACTACAATACTTTTGAGCTTGTATTGATGGATGATTTGAAGGGTATCGTTGCCCAAAATGCGTGCTTCTTCTTGGGCAATGATGTGGTTGGTTTCGGGCTTTAGGATTTTCACAACTACCACCGATTCTGCACGGGGGAAAAAGAAATCTCTGATTTTATTTTTAGCCGATCGCTTTACGAAATCAAATTCGGTAGCAGTCAAACTGCGACCAAGCGTTTCGAGTGAATTATTATCGGTTATGATGAGGAGGTTGTCCTCTGCTTTGGCAATATTTACAACTTCTATGGTTATCTGCTTCACTATTTTTCGCTATTCCTGATGAAAAATCATGCCCGAAGCACCTACTCTTCGTAGTGTACTCTGCATATAAACTGTAAAGGTAGAAACAATTGTAAATAAACGTCAGAAAAACCGATTATTTGTCTGCAAAAAGGTAATATTTTGCAGATTTTTCATCGTAGAGTCGATAATACGCTGTGGGAAAGCTATTTTGTGTATGTTCTTTTTCTGTAATACAATGCGAACAAAAGCGCTAGTGTAAAGCAGATGCCCAAACCGATGCGGAGCCAAAAATCTTTTTTAGCACCCACTATTTGAGCAAAGTACATAGGGTTGGCTTCGCCGGGAGAGCCTTTGCCAGGGTGCACTGCCCAGTTGCTCGGCGATGCATTATTTAATGAAGGCAACAACAAATCGATGGTATAACCCGATGCCAAAGGCTCTACGGCATACGATATGCTATCTACCGCAGCGCCGTCATAGGTGAATAGCGAAAGTTGCTCCATAGACTTGTCCAAACCGAAGTTGAGCCCATCTACCACATTTTTTACCTCCGGATATGCCTTAGTGAAAGCTTCCATATCTTCGCAAACTACCAGATAGCCGTCTGCGGGCACTATACCTTTTTCGAAGGTGAAAATGTGCTTATCGTCCTTTAGGTTCCAGCCGCTGAGGTCAATCGCTTCACCGGATTTGTTGTGTATTTCGAGCCAATCGCCTGTGTGCTTATTGTAGGCGCACACTTCATTGATGATTACTTGCTCTAGCAGTGGGTGGTTGTAAGTCTCAAATATTGCCTTCAATTGGAGCACTTTACCACTTTTTAAGTTGACTGCTACATGCCTTTCTTTTACAGTGGTGCCTTCCCAGCCAACAAACTTGTAGCCAAATTCGGGCACTGCCTCCAATTGCACAGGCACATTTTCAAAGTATTTACCTCGAAATGCTTTGCCGGCATCTACTTCTATGTTGCTGCCATTCAGGCGGATACTACCACCTACCGAACTTTCCAGCTGCAAATCTGCCAATTCGCCCGTTTTGAATTGCTCGTGCATAAAATAATACAGGTACTCCGGACGCTTTTCCGCAAATACATACATATTATCTATCGATTGCGACCATTCGTCTGCGCCAAGTTTCCAGCGAGTCAAGTGGCGGTCCATCTCAGGTGTCAGTACATTGGTGAAGTGCTTGATATACATTTTTACATGTTCGGTCGCAAAATCGGTGTTCAGTCGGTCGCACATCCTATTGATAAACTGCTCTTGAAACTCTTTGTTGTTCAGCAAACTGCGCAACAACAACGTGCTCCACTCCGGATTGGGCCACTCAGGACCATTGGGGTCGGTGAAGAACGCCAACGAATTGCGACTATAAGCCTTTTTGTTGTGCAAGCCAAAGCCCCAATCGGTGTCATACAATATCCATCTCCATTTGCCACCCGGGCGCTTTGGGCGCCAATAGCGTATATTGCCTCCTGCGTCGGTGTTGTCGCAGTATATTTGCGCCACCTGGAAGTCGATAAAATTGGCGATATCCATTTTTTTCTTCACCCATGCATAGTGTTGAGCATCAGCCATATCATGTGCGCGGATGTAGCTCACCATATTTTTGTAGTGCTCATTGTCGCCTTTGCGCACTGTTTCTTTGTGCTCCATGAAGTCTATGGAATCCTTATCTACATTGCAGTGGTCTGCCAAAAACTTTGGATTGATCTTATCTCTAAAATAGTAAATACCCCAATATTTGCCATTGAGATACACCACCGCCGGGCGTTGGTCTTGCTTTTCAATGCCCCAGTCATCCACCAACTCACTCATCATTTCATCCCTGAAGTGGGCGCCATTCCAGTCGCTACCGGCATTGCGAAGTACCAAATATTTGTACTTTTTGAAGCCTTTTTCGCCAAATATTGGGTAGTTTATGCGCTTTTTGCCGTATTTCGGGCGCGCCACGATGACCATACTTTTTTGAGGGAAAAGGCGGCTATATCCGCCAAAAAGCCTGAATCCTGAAGCGTTATTATAAACGCATCGCCCTTCGGTTTCAAATATTTCTACGTTGCAGCTATATTCTTTTCTGCTCCAAAAATTGGCGCCCAACTTGCCGGGCGTTTCCAGATTGGCATTCGGACCATCTTGCATAATGCCTCGCTCCGGATGAAAAAGTACCGAAGGCGCCATGGAAATAGCCACCACAGGCAGTGTGCCCCGCTTTTCACCCACAAAATAGGTGTTGGTTGCCACCGGACTGTATTTGTTGCCCGACTTGGCGAATGCGCGCAATGTAGTGGTAGTTGTTATGGGAATAGGACCTTTGTAAGGTGTGCCTTTCTGATTGGGTTTTTGGCCATCTAGTGTATAGAAAATTGCCTCGCCATTTGCTTGGAGACTCACCGTTATGGGTTGAGCATAGAATCCCCCTTCATGTGAAAATGTCACAGTGAACGGTTGCTTCATGGTACCGGTTGTCGTAGATTGCTGCGCACTTAATACCCAAACCTGCAAACCTAGCAATATACTGAAAATGAAATATTTATACACTTTTATAGCTGTTCGTTACGAGGTGCAAAATAAAGACGTTTACTCCACAAATGCTATATTTGTTTGGCATTTTTTGTATTTTTGCCGCGAATTGCACAAATTTTTATCCATTATCCATTATTTTGGAGTGCCCCCGAAAACCGCCTTAGGGTTTTCTGCGCAGTTTGGTGTTTTCGGTAGGCGGTTTCGGGGTCGGGCTATCCGCTGCTGCCGATAAAAAACGCCTTAGGGCTTTTCGGCGGAGCATTTATCTTTGTACTTGGCGTTTTTTAACGGCATCCGCTACTATCCCTCACTCGACCCGCAGCAGGGATAGTAGCGGAAATAGCTAAAAATATCGCCTTGCAGGACAACTTTGTTAACTACTCAACCAAGAGGCGATATTTTTAGCTATTGCAGCGGATAGCCCGGCGACTCAAAAAAACTGCCGGTTCCTAGCCCCTAAGCGTTTGTAATACCGCAAAACGGCAGTTTTTTTGAGGCGGCTGCCAGAAGAGTTATGAGATATGAACGATGAGATATGAGTAATGAGATATGAAATATGAACACACAAAGTGCACGCAAATTCGTGAAAATTCGTGCAATTCGCGGCAAAAAAATCACAAAGAGTTAAAGGAGTTAAAAGAGTTCTGCGGTTATCTGCGTGTAGCTAAATCTGTGTATATCTGCGGGAAACAACACGCAAAGTGCACGCAGATTTGTGAAAATTGTGCAATTGGTGGCAAAAAAGTGAGCGAAGCGAACTAAAAATTCGTGAAAATTTGTGCAATTTGTGGCAAAAACCACACGCAGTTCGTGAAAATTCGTGCGCATTCGTGGCATCTTACCCACAAACGAGCAACCTTTGCACAACTATTCGTATCATTGCATAACGATATTGATTTTTTAAGATTTTGACGCATAATCAAGCATTTTGTAGAAGTTTTTGGGCACTGCTATTGTCGCTGACAGTGCAGGTGACGACTTTTGCACAGTCCGAATGGGGCAATCGAAGAGTCCGCTACGTCTCAGCTGATGCGGCTCGGCAGATACTAGACACCCTCACCGTCATCAATCCATTGTGGTCAGTGCGCGATTCGTCCACAGGAGCAGAATTGCCTTTGAGCATGTTTCGGGTAGAAAATCGCACCTTGATAACAGATACAGCTGCCTTGCATACGTTGTTGCCGGCTTGTAAGACCCTCGAAGTGCGTTATCGAGTACTCACCCTCGACCTTGGCAAGGTTTATCGCCGCCTCGACACTACCATCCTGCGCACCACGCCCGACGACCCACGGTATGTGCCTATAGCCTTCGATTTCAAAGACCTGGAAGACGGCAGCGGCAACATCTGGAAAACGCCGGGGGTAGCCACCACAGGCAGTTATACGCGCGGTCTCGCTTTGGGAAACAACCAAAACCTCAACTTCAACTCCAACCTTAACCTACAGATTGACGGTAAACTTGGCAACGACCTACAACTCACCGGCGCCTTATCCGACAATTCCATACCGTTGCAGCCCGAGGGCACCACCGGCAATTTGCAGGAATTTGACCGCATATTCATCCAACTCAAGCGCAAAAACGCCGCTTTGATAGCCGGCGATTTTGAACTGGCCAACCCCACCGGCGGTTATTTCATGAACTACTTCAAGAAACTCCAAGGCGGGTCGGCTACCGTGCGTGCGCCTGTGCGCTGGGGCAAAGTAGGAGATTTGCTAGGCAGAAAACAAGGAAATAAAATGACCTCGATATTGCCGGGAAGCACCCCACTCGATACCGTATCGTTTCGCGTAGCAGGCGCGGTGGCGCGTGGCAAGTTTGTGCGCCAACCCATAGCAGGCATAGAAGGCAACCAAGGTCCATACCGACTGCAAGGTGCTGAAGGTGAGCGATTTATCATCGTACTGGCAGGTACGGAGCGCGTGTATATAGATGGCGTTTTGCTCAAGCGCGGCTTAGAGGAAGACTACATCATTGACTACAACCTAGCGGAAGTCGTATTCACGGCGCGGCGATTCATCACCAAAGATATTCGTATCATTGTAGAGTTTGAGTATTCGGTGCAGAACTATATTCGCTCCTCCCTCGCGGCTGATGTGCAGCTGCAACACCGCAAAAGTCGCTACTTTTTCAATATCTACTCCGAGCAAGACAGCAAAAACTCCACCGGGCTGCTCGACCTCAAGCCCGAACAACGCGCACTCCTAGCTCAATCAGGTGATAGCATAGCTTTGGCTTTTTCATCGGGCGTGGATACCCTTACCGACGGATACAGCCCTTCGCGTGTGTCGTACAGATACGCGGACACCGTCGCCTGTGGGCAGCCCGCGCGCATACTCGTGTACGCGACCCGCTTCGATACATTGTTGTTGCAAGCGCGATTTTCGGAAGTGCCACAAGGGCAAGGCAACTACATCCTCATCCCCTCCAATGCCAACGGACGCGTATATCAATGGGTTGCGCCCGACCCACTCACCTGTCAGCCGCAGGGCAATTACGAGCCGGTCATACGCCTCATCGCCCCCGAAATGCGACGAATGATGACCCTCGGCGCCGAGCATCAGTTTGCGCCCAACACCTCGCTACGTGCCGAAGCCGCCCTGAGCAACAAGGATTTCAACCGATATTCGCCGCTAGATGGCGAAGATGACAGAGGTTTAGCGGGTTTTGTGGCATTTAAGCATCGGTTTACGCCCGCCAAGCAAAAAGACCTGACCATCGACCTACAAACCAACTACGAATACGCACAGCAAAACTTCACCGCACTCAATCCCTATCGCCCCCAAGAGTTCACCCGCGATTGGAATACCGACCGACTTCTCCAAAAAACCGAAGAGCACCTCGGGCGAGGCTCCATCACGCTCGCCAAAAAAGGCTACGGCAGCCTCCGCTACGAAATGGGCGGATTCCTACGCGGCAGCGTGTATGATGGCGTGCGTCATTTTGGGCAATTCCGCTTCTCCCGCAAAGGCTATGAAGTACTTTTGGAAGGCAATCTACTTTCCACCAACAGCCAATTGGAGAACTCCGTGTTTTCGCGCCCGCGCTTCGACATCGCACGCACCTTCTCCTACACGCGCGCCGACAAAAAAACAAAAATGCCCTACCTCAAGCTTGGCGTATATGGCGAGCGCGAGAAAAACCGCCGTTTTTCGCCTACCACCGATAGTTTGTACATCCGGAGCTTTTACTACGACCTCGGGCGCGTGTATTTCCAAGTACCCGAACACGAAAATCGCCGCCTCAGCTTTGGCGGATTCCTCTCCAAGCGCAAGGATTACGCTCCCGTTGGAATCGCCTTTAGCCAATCTACCGAAGCCGACGAAGCCAACCTCAACGGCAAGTGGAGCACCAAGCCCAAGCGAAAAATCATGCAAAGCATCGAGTGGACAGCCACCTATCGCTCCCTAGATATTGTCAACACCGATTTGAGCCTGCTGCCCCCGCAAAACACCTGGCTCAGCAAGATAGACTACACCGCCAACTTCCTCAAAAATGCCATCGTATCCAATACCGCCTACGAGCTAGGCTCCGGGCAGAACCCCAAATTGCAATTCAACTACGTACTCGTCAATCCCGGCGAAGGCAACTACACCTGGATAGACCGCAACCAAGACAGTACCCTGCAAGTAGATGAAATGGAAATCGCCGTTTTCCAAGACCAAGCCAACTACATCCGACTGGCAGCTAGCACCAACGATTTCATCCGCACCAACAACATCGTCTTTGCGCAAAGCTTCCGCTTCGAGCCACGCCTAATATGGGCGCAAAAAAAGGGCTACAAACGCCTCCTCAAGCGGTTTTCGACCCAAAGCAACCTCCAAATCAGCCGAAAAGTGCAAGCCGGCTCCATCCAAGGACTCGCCACTTGGAATCCCTTCTTATTCGACATTCCCGACACCAGCCTCATCAGCGTCACCACCGTGATACGCAACTCCTTGTTTATCAATCGCGCCGACCCGATATGGGACGTCTCCCTCAGCCAATCCGCCGCCGAAAACCGCTACGTGCTCACCACCGGATTTGAGAGTCGCTCCCTCGCCGACCAAGTGCTGCACCTCCGCATCAATCCCGGGCGCAAATGGACCATCGAAAGCGACCTCACCCGCGCCATCAAAGCCAATAAAACCGAAAATTTTGTGAATCGCAACTACCGCGTGCTCGAGTACGAGGCTTCTCCTCAAGTCAGTTGGTTGCCCTCTCGGCAGTTTCGTCTCACCCTCAAATACGCCTGGCTACAAAGCAACAACGACCCCGACCTCGGCGGCGAATCAGCCGACCGCAACGACATCAAC